CATGTTGTGTGTACCAGTCAATGACATAGTTTGTAAGCCTGTCTATCCGTCAGTTTACGGGATATCACTGGCAGGGGAAGAAATAAGTGACTGACCCATAGAAGAAGAAGTTTTTGAATACCCTGCGACGCGTCTGTTAGCTAGTCCCAGGTGGTGAAGGTTTCACGTAACAGAAGGAGTTGCCAGAAGACGAGGGGCGCTCACATGTTCATAATAAACAATTCGGTGCTATTCTGGCGATAAGCGTCAAGAGCCCACTGTGTCGCAAAGCTAGCAATTATGGTCATTCCGAACAGAATGACTCCCCAAATGAAGCAGATCAAGTAGATATTCTCAAAGTTCTTGACAGCGTAGGCCCAGCCAACCAGGCCGGCAACCGAGCATATCCCACCAAGGCTGACAGGCAGGAGTGCAAATTCCGGCTCATAGACGCCGTTGTTTCGACGCGACATCGTTTTGACGAGCGGCTCTGAGACCACAAATGAAAAGACTGCACCCAATAGCCCGCCGATGAACGGCCCTGCTGACATGTATCCCACAGAGGCGGAGGACATGAGGTAGGGAGGCGAAGCGAAGATGACACCTGAGAGAATTGCCACAGCCACATACCAAGCAATAATGACTCCTGTCATCAAGACCTGATAGAGCGCTCCCAAGTTGAGGAGGATTGCAACCGAGGCTATGGCCATTTTGATGACGGAATCTTCCACAAAGGTACCGTTATAGAGGGCGAGTTCTTGGATGAAGGTTTTTGGCGGCGGTATCGATTCCACCGACGTTTGAGTGGTATTGGTCATTGTTTTCTCCAAATCAGTGTTTGCCCCGACCGTGGTTGCACCGGTCGGTCGCTCCAAGTGATGTGCCGCTCGCGACTCAACGGTTGCAAGCTTTTCCAGGTTTTCCTCGGAGCCGGCCGTGTCGATTTCGTATATGGCTTTGCGTCGATACATTGTCTCGGGACAGTAAAAGATTACTAGGACCGTTTGGAGCGCTGCAAACGGTATGTAGATATGGAAGTTGTAGTGCCAGCCAAGATGATCAGTGATCACGCCGGCAATAATGGAGATTCCGTTGGATATGGCAGCCAAAAGGAATATGATGACAGCAACTCGTGGCCCTCTCTCATGGACGAAAAACATGTCGCCAATGGACGCCACCGCGAGAGACTCGTACGCAGCGATGCCGATTCCTTGAAGAACCCGACCTGACAGCAGCGTGTTGTAGCCCGACGCTACTTCGGAGACGATGATTCCGATTGTGCCGATCAAAGATGAGAAAACGTACATGGGTCGTTTGCCGTATTTTCGACCCAGGGCAGAGGCGAACGGACCCATGGCCCCTGTCGCGAGGAGAGAATAGCCGGAAAGTTTGGCGATATCGGTTGGAGAGCGATTGAGATCCAGGGAGATTTGAATGATGCCAGCATTGAGAATCGGTCCCTGCACAGCTTGTCAGTCAGAGCCACATTTTCGAGCTCCTGAACATCGCCTACCGGAACTACGCCGTGGATGATCACGCCAAAGAAAATAATCGCCAGCACGATATGCTTCTTGAGAGACGACCAGTTCAATGGATCGTTTGGGTCCTCGGAAGGCTGTGGTGCCAAAACAATATGAGCATTCTTCCCTGTTCCATGTTTCAAACGACCCGTCTGATGCTCAGAATGGGCAGCTTGCTGGTCCAGAAGGACAGTTCCTGGAACGTGCGCAGTGGTGTTCGCCTCCAACACGCCGAACCCCATCGTTGCTTTATGTCGTTTGCAATGGTTCGAGGGCGATGGTGTTGCAGATTCCGACCACAAGAAGCTCTTTGAGATGCTCCGAACCTCAAACCAAGCTCCCGGACTGGACTGTATATCAAGAATTTGGGGCAGAGTGGAGAGAGCCTTGTCGAAAATCCGGGGGGCCCAATTCTCAAAACCTGGGGAATATCCCTACCCCACCTTTCCTCATTGGACCAATCCAATGTCTGTTCGTGGTTAGGCCTTACCATGACCCGTTCTCGTCTCCTTTGCCCAGGCCAGCACAAGCCCAACTCGAGAAACCTGGAGTCTGCCATGATCTAGCCCCCTGTGTTGGAGACAAGAGCTTCGAAGCGAACAGGTCATGTGTGATTGTATTGGCCGAGCGGTATGAATAGACCGGGCGTCGTCCAGGGCAAGAGTGACCATGCACTTGGCGTTCCTCGTGGCTAGAAACGACAGGCGACGCGGCAGCTTCCAAGAGTGGCAGCCTATGCAAAGTTGAAGACCCTCCTGGCCACATGATACGAGAGATAAGTTGGAGCAAGCTAAATGCCCGCCCCTCGGAAACGAGTCCCACGCTCTGTAGGTCGGGGAAGAGTCTCGCAGCCTTGCGTGAGGGCCAAAACTTCAGGCTTTCGTTGACTAGAGATAGGTAGGAACATTCCTTCTCCAACGGAGAGATGACTGAACCAGGGTTCTAATGGTGTACTTGAGAAGAAGCTCGTCTTGGGCGAGACGGGGTTTTTATCCGATCGAAGGCGCTGGAGAAGCTCGGGCAGACGGGGAGAAACTGATAGAGAGCTGGTACGAGGGAACTGTCTGGAGACTCGATGGAGATTGGTTCGAAACTTTCAGCGCATCTTTCTTTCTCTCTAATAGATGCCCGGAATGATTCTCCACCTAACGCGTTTGCAGTAGCGCTCCCAGTCTTTTCCATACTTCTTCCGACACTTCTCTTCATCCCTCATTTCTCTATGTACAAGCAGGACGCCAAAATATATAACATAGAAGTATGTAAAAATCATTCCCCAGCCGCGTGCGTCTCCTTGTACCACCTCCCTGGTCACACTGCCGGTGACAGGACTCTGATACTTGTTGATGATGTATCCTGCAACTCCTGTCGGGAGAGAATAGCTCCAGGACATGATCCAATCACCCAAATAGTTGATATGTCGCGCACGACCCCACCAACCAGACACTAGAAGCTTGGAGCCGGACTCGGTGGTCATGGTTTCGAGGTGGGAGACGCGGGGGTCGTTGGGATTGGTACGGAATCGGTTTTTCTCATTGTTTGCCCCCCGAAAGATGTAGTATCCCAGACCTTGAACACCCAGGACGCCAGCAATGCCGCTAATTCCAAGGGTCAACGGATAAACGGCGAGATAGCGTGCTTGTAGGCTGTACAGGAATGGAACCCAGGTCAGGTCGCCGAAAGCGAGCATGTAGCCGAAACCGTCGGTTGTCACGTCCATGGTAGTCAGAATGGCTGGCTCCATGTAAAGGGCGTCCATGACATATAGCGATTGAAAAAAGGTGATCAGAATGATCGAATCGCTGACAAATCCATGTACTTTGTATTGATGGACAACGAATGCAAGGTCGAGAATGATCCAGCCTAGCAAACCTGGTCTCATCTCGTTGAAGACTTTGATGTCAATCACTTGACCGCCAGCTATGGGGATCCAACGCGGCAGGGTGACGCGTGGGTTCAGCTCACGACCGATGAAGAAGTCATATAGCATATTCCCCGTGTGCCCTCCTTTGGCCAGCTCCCTGTTCTCCGGGTTTGGTTGACCTGGCTTGGGGACGTTGAACGACGCCAGATAGACATAGACGGCTTGAGCACAGGAAACGAGGAGGTTTGCAGTAGCAACTTGGGGCAGATTGTCCCAGATGAAATCCCAGACCACAAAGCTGGTACCTTGAACTGCGGTGCCAATGCCAAGTCCGGCAAGCATGAGGACAGCGGAGTTGAAGGCGTTGAACTTGTAATGGTGTCTTCCACCCGTGCTCAGCTGTGTGCCGTCAACCTCTTCGCCCGGCAGAAACAACTGGAGAGCCACGCTGAGGCCATAATATGCCAGAACCCACAGAATGACGTTCGGATCGAACAACCCCATGAGCCCATTCTCCGGCCAGGGTGTCTGTCTCTTCAATTTCTCCAGGGTCAAGGTTCTCAGATCCAGCAAGGCAGGTGCAGGGCAGCCCGAGACGTCGTTGCAGAGGAAGATGGTGGCGTAGATGAGGATCGGAAGGCCGAAGACGATCCCAGCAGCTCCCAGACTGCACAAGCATCAATACAGGGGCATTCCGAAACGGTCATGGATTGCAGCAACTTACGGTCCTCCGAATTCATAGCCATGCTTTTCCTCTGGTGCTGTATCCGCCTTTGATTTGACAGTCATATTGGACAGGTTTGCAACGGCGTTCGCTGCAGACCCAAGCAGACCCGGCAGAAGGGGAGTACAAGAAGACAGAGGAAAGGTCAGAGAATGCAGAGAGGGAGAACAGAGATCAAACGAGGGACATTCTATTGAGAGATTGTAGCAGGGAAGAAAAAGTGACAGGGCCGGGATGTCGACCAGCCGAATGAGATCATGACCGGCAAGCTGGGCGCAGCCATCGCGCTGCGTGCTGCGGGTTACGCGTTGCGTGGTCGCGCCACGGAAAATGCTCCTTCGGCAGCTTGAACCTTCCCTGACCTTCTTCACCTTGATATGGAGGAGTTAAATGGAAATAATATCTCGAATGTGCCGAGTAATGGACCACGGTCTCGGTGTCTGGGGGGCCTGCCGCATGAGCGACATGTTTTGCAAGATGTGCATTCATTCCCGATGGCGTTGGGTTCTTTTTAGGCGACCGAAGTCGACGAGTCTGTGGCCTCTGCCCAACCCCGTGGATCCGCAGGAAACACGCAACGCACTGCACGCCCTCGTCCTTCCTTGCTCCTGCATCTCCTACTCGGTCCATCCGCCCATAATCTTACAGGCCCGCCGTGCAGCTGAGGCTTATGTTTGAAATTGTAGGCTGCCCTTGCGACTGCCCCTACGACTCCCCCTTTCGATCATTCTCTCTTCATCTCAATCCAGAACCAACGTACCAACTGGTTGTGCCGAGTATTGTGTGCAGCATTCACTTGCATTGCGCCGGCCGGGTGACTGGTTCCAACTCGCCATCTTGGTCCATTTCTTCCAGATCATCCAGAGCAACTCTCAATAGGCCTCTGCCTTCCAATCTCCTATACCACTGACCAGCCATGTACCTCTCGACGTCTTTCGTCCTCCTCCTGTCATCATTACCCTCAAGTCTCGCCGCGACCGAATCGATACCCCCTCCGAAGCCATGTACCATCTACTCCCCTTCAACCGGCTCATTCTTCGACCTTCGCCCTCTACAATTGACCCTCGAGGGCACGAAGTACCAGGCCGCCAGTAACGAGTCGTACCACTCCAAAGGATTTGACTATCCCGCAAATTTCACCATGAATTTCTGTGGCCCAGTCGTGGAGAAGTTGGGAGATGTCGAGGGAATTCCTACTAGCAAACTGAGAAACATCTCGGCCTACTACAAGGACTCCCGCGGGGACATTTACAGCATTGGCCAGCAAAACGACCAGCCTCTCTTTCGGGGCAAGAAGCTCGTCCTCAATTACACCATGGGCTCGCCCTGTCCCGACCTCGACGAGGATGGTCACCCGATCGACTCGGACCTAGTTGCAAACAAAGTCAACAAGCGACGGAAATCGACCCTCCTGTCCTTCATCTGCGACACATCCCCCCTTCTCTCCACCCGTCCGGCTGTCGCCTTCCTTGGTTCTCCCGACCACTGTACCTACGTCTTTGAAGTCCGCTCTCGCTATGCTTGCGGTGGCACGACGCAGTCCGGAGAAAAGGGAACACTGGGACCTGGCGCAGTCTTTGGTCTGATCGCGGGCATTGCTCTACTAGTCTATCTCATTGGGGGGATCGTCTATCAGCGAAATGTACTGCATCAGAGGGGTTGGAGGCAATTGCCAAACCATGCAATGTGGGCGAGTATCTTTGGCTTCTTCTCGGTATGTGTTTCCCCTTCTTTCCTCTCTGCTTGTCCACTCAGCTGTGTCATGTTCCCTTACACACTGTGCAATCTACAGAGACCCTTCTTCTGTGGGCCGCGTCGAAAGCGTTATGCGTCTGCTACAAGAGATTACGATTGGAAGTCGGACCTGCCTTGACTACCCGCGGCTAACCTCATGATTCCGTCTGTGAATATAGGATATGTTTGTTATCCTGTTCTCCTCATGCACCCAAAGGATGCCTGGGGGACTCACCCAACTATTCGCCGGTCGACGAGGCTACCACCGCGTGGGCGTCGATGAACGGGGACACGGACGAGGCCGCACCGCAGACGACGAAAATAGGTTGATTGACCAGCTCGACGAAGAGTGGGAAGATTGAGCAAGTCCACAAAAGTAAATTGTGTTATTGCACTTCCCAAAACATCAGACTTGCCGTGCTCCCGTGCCTGTGAGACTGGTAGCAAACATATACTGCCCAGACTCCCGGCTGCGCAAAGATCAATGTCCACGCGAAGCGAATCGAACTTTTACCCTGCAACCAAGGGACAGTCCCCGGTCGAGTCGCTCCACATAATCATCACACTAGGGTCAATCTTTCTCGGTTTTGCTCGGTCGACCCTGGAGACTGTCCACTTCATGTGTTGCCCGAATTTTGCTCTCCACCAAATTGTCCACCAACATCACTTCCTCCTTGGCCAAGGTCACTCAAATCCATCCCATCCAACGCGGTATTTCCAAATTCCTCCATCCCACTGGCTCCGAAATTTGGTGGTTCAATATTAAACGGCAACAACCATGCCGAGGAACTCGTGTCCATCCCCCCTGTCCCTCCTCCTGCGAAGGGATCATTAAATCCGTACGTCGTGAGATCGAGTTGATCCCAAGGATTGGTACTCCCATAGTTTCCCACCGAAGGCGAGTTGAGATTGTTGAGTCCTGAGGAAGTGTTTTGGTTGCCGCTATTATTGCCCGTGCCGGCAGGGTCCATGCCGGCGTATGCGGCGCCAAAGACCATCTGTCTATCAATTGCCGGCAAGGTGGATATGAAATGGAGGCTGTTGTAGTGTGGCGATGTCGGGGAGCCACCGTAGGTGTAAGGGTCCGGGAATTGAGCGTTCTGGTACAGCGATGGAGATGTTATGTCGAAGCTCGAAAGATCAAAAGGTTGATTGAGGTTAAGGCTCAGGCTGAGATCGGCACTTGTGGTTGGGAGACGCTGTCCAGGCAGTTGTTGGGACGTCGATTGCCGTCTTTGCGAGTCCTTCCCAGCACCGCTTCCCGTACCGGCTCCAGCTCCAGCTCCAGCCCCAGCTCCGGCGGTAGCGGCCGCGGCAGAACTTGATGATGTGTCGCCCTTCCCCTTTTCTCCCTTCCCTTCTTTATCCATCTTCTTGTTCTCCGCCACACTTTTTCCCCTTCTCCTTGGAATCTTCTTGCCTCTTCCAGCCAAGCCACTACCGTCATCAGCTTTAGACGGCGGACTCAGACTCGCGAAAAACTCTTCGACTGACTGTAAATCACTTCTCTGGGACATGACTGCCTCCGCGCCGCCCTGGGCGTGTTCGCTGCGGTACTCCAGATGCGACTTTTCCCATTCACTTTCGGAGACACCGTGAGGGTACTTATCGAACCAGTCGCCGTATTGAAACATCGTTTTAGATTTGTCCTGTTCCGATTTCGGTTTGTTAGGGTCAGCAGGAGTGTCAGAGCGGGAAGGCGGGTTCGTGTTGGAAGTGAGCGCCGCGGTCGCATCCAAGTCCATCGGCGTGTGCGTCCCGCTCCCTCCTGTGGCGGAGGAATGTCTGCGCAAGAGGTTCACACCAGAACCGGAAATTCCATTCGATCCCGGTCGAGCCTGGGCGTGACGAAGTGTGGCGTCGGCGAAAGCGCGATAAATATCCTTCACCGACTCGGCCATGTAATGAAACATGCCCCAATACCGTTTCATCCTGGTGAGGTATTTGTAGTTATGCCTTAAATTCTCCTTGCTCTGTTGCTCGAGCGCGGAGTTCTTGGAGAATATCCCCCAAACGTGCACTGTTGCGGCAGCATATGCACAGTACCCTGCAAAGGGAACGGTCAAAGTGTGGCCCGTCGAGTCGGCGATGAGTTTGCTGATAAGCGAAGCGGATTCGAGGACAATGTTGGCCGAAGTTGTGAGGAAAGCTTTGGGCATGCCTTGTTGGGTGTAGTAGTGATGATGGGGTCTATGGCTGGGTTGGGTGGGAATAGCGAAGCGGTGGAGAAAGAGGGAGGTTTGCGCGAGGACGATATGAAGAAAGAGATATTGGTTCGCGAGACGTTCGGAGATGTGTGTAGCGAAGTTTTCCGAGGTGTAGGTTATGTCGTCCGGAAGGGACGATTTCAACTGGGAGATTTGCCGTTGTAAAGTGGCGAATTGGGATAAGGGGTCCCATATAGGATGGGGATCTTTTTCCTTACCCCCTAGGTTGAGATACTTGACGATGCGTTTCCAGAGGACCACGGCACGGACGATGTACGCTGCGACCCCCATGTTTGATTTTGCCTCTGCGGCGGCGTCTCCCACGGTGTTATCGAGCGACGATTTACTGTTGGACATGGGGACGTTGCCGTACAAATCTTCCGTGGGACCGGGGACCTCCATTTGGAAATGCGATTCTTTGATTGGCAGTTGGATTTGGTAGTAGTCTTCGTTGAGGAAGGAGGGACGTTCAGTACCAGACGAGTTGAATGTGTCCATCAGGTAACAAGCCCACATTGTTCGACGGCGGATTTCTCGATCTGTAAAGGAGAGTTCGGGTGGCTTGGGGCCTTTCTTGTTCTCGTTTGAATTCGCGATTTGGTTTCGACCGAGGGGATCGTGGTCGAGTTCGCGGTGCAATTGCAAAGCATACCCCATTCGCATGGCCTGCCCGCCAAACGACCACGACAATCCGCCCTCACAGGTTCCAAAGTAGTGGAGACCCAACATAAGCATTGCTGTGAGAATGGTGATGTTGGGCTCATAGTGACGTTTCTCCACGATCCGTCTAGCGGGAGTCGCCCACTGTTCTCCACGGAGAAACGCCGGTTCCGTGCTAACTTGCGGATGGGTCGAGAAGCGTGCGGAAATGGCACACACGGCCAAGATAAGGACTGGTGGGATTGTTCCAGCTTTCAATTTGCGCATGAAACTGGGCTTATGCAGAAGGAGGTAGGATTGACCATAGACGCAGTCAAAGAAAACTTCGGCGAGATGTTCTTGGATGTGTTGCGGCGGAAGAGACTCGGAGCCTTCGATAAAGAGCTTGTTCTCACCTTCGCGCTGTTTACGTAGCCCAGCCGTGGGGTCGAGCAAAGTAGATTTCTCTCGAGAACTTCGCCAGTCGTTGAGTTCTTGTGTGAAAGCCTCGTCTGCGGAGCGCTTCTTGGGCTGGTCTTTGTCCTTTTTCGGAGCCTGTCCCGGGAGAGGGGGACGGACTGATCCACGGCCAGTGGCGCCCAAATCTGGGAGTTCGTCCTTTGGGATGACTCGAATCACACGGTCTTCCATCCTTTTCAGTCGCTTGTCCAACATGGCCATGTAGTCCGTCCGAGGTGCCGCTTTTCTGGTCGTGACTTTGTAGACGCAGGGTATCCGAGCACGCAGACAATGTTTGCAAGCCGGCTTTTCGCCCGAACATCTGATCTTCTTTCGGCGACAAGCAATACAGGCGAGCGGCAAGCGTTTCCTCTCCTTGCCTGCTTTCGTCTTTAACTCGCTCCATGCTGGCGGCTTTCCCTCGTCAGCCGGCTTTTTGTTTTCCTGCTCAGCGGTGCTGGGTGGTTTTCTTGGTGACGAGTCTGCGTTACTGGGTGGCTGATTGCCGGAGTTGGGCGCCCATTGACTCAACGCGACGGCGCCAAAAAGATCATGGTCAAAGGCTGAATCGATGCTAGCTAAACTGGCGCGATGTTGAGGGCTGGGAATTTTGCCCGACACATAACCCACCATGGAGCCTCGACCCGGGAAACCCTGGCCGTGGCTCAAGCGAACGTCTGGCGGAGCATCAATGCCACTGTTGCTGCTACCATGAGGACTCCCACCAAAGGGAAAGTTGAAATCAATGGAACCGGGAGATGATGTGTCGAAGACGGATGTGTTAGACTGAGGTTGAGCGAAATTGTCGCCGCGGGGGTTACGTGCATCCGACATGATATAGGCGGAACTCGAAAGTAGGTTACTTCGCTGTTCGCCTCGAGGCTGGCCTAGTTGGTTTGATGAACTCGACATGATGCAAAGCGCGTGGAGAAGAGCCAAATAATGGATGACGGCATGTCCTCAAGTTGAGATGACAGCTTTACACGCGCCACATTGTCAGACTGGCGGAAGGCAGAGGAGCCGAGGTTGCAACAATAGCGTAGACCAGGTTGATGAGAAGTCAGTGCGTCCAAGCAGGCCTGGGCGGGGATCAGACTAGATGGGATGCACTCATTGCCCGCGGCTCCAAAGGACAAGGCTGAAGAAGGGGGATGTTGGTAATAAGATAGTGAAAGGTGTAGTAGGCAGTTTGATGGCGAAGTCCGACGGGTTGCGAAAATGTGGGAAAGTGAGAAGCGGGTCAGCGACTCAGCGGTCCAAGTGTGGATTCGCCCGTGGCGTCTCCCCAAAATGGGGGGAAAGGCGCCCCCGGGGTATTAGCAAGTTAATTTTTTTTTATTTGAAAGAGAACCCTTCGATTGCTGTGCTTGTAGATCGCCGGGGCATCTGACCAGAGGATGAAGAAGGCCTAGACCTTTGCAGCAATGATGTTGATTGAGGGGCGTTTAGCCACCGTCGAGCTGGGGGATTCTGGTGGAAATTCTCTGCTCTCCTGGTGCCAAGCTACCAACGATCTTTCAACACTCTGTGACTTGTGAGAAAGACAGGCTTATTGCGGGAGAATGAGGAAGGAGGATAAGGATGCCGCAGGAGTCGAGAGTCGAGAGTCGAGGGAGGGTCACGGGAGGAAGGTCGAGTCGAGGGTCGCGGGTCGAATAGGCTAAATGAACTAGTCGCCCATCAAGTCTTGGACCTCGTAGTGGCACACAGTGGGTTCCAGATTCCATGGCGGCCTTCACCCGGTGCCAGTTGTCAGTTGGTTGCTCCGCTGGAAACAAAGAGGCACCGCCACAGTGGGAGAATATTTTAGAGGCAGGGCCGGCCACCGCAGGAAAGCGAGTGGCTGGCAGGATGGTGGTGGTGGTGGCGGTGGTGGTGATGTCTGACGCAATGACAAAGATTATCTCTCAACACCACCGAATCAAAGATCAGTTTCAAGAAGCCTCCAAACATATATACGAGGCGAGGAGGTCAAGTGGACGATGGCGATGACGGCGACAATACTGGGTAACAACAACAATAACGACGACTGCGGGCAGCCTCCAGGATCTCGCACGTGACAAAACTAGGCTCCATAGATGCACGTGATGTGATATTGGGCTCCACCTTCGCAGGGCTGCAAATTCTCTATCCAATTGATACGGTGCATTGCGCTCATTATTCCTCCATGCTCCTGACTGGACAGCTATGGAAGGATCTCAACTTTAGAAGCTAACCTTCTCACTCCTCAACTCCTGGGAACCTTTCCTCTATGAATCCCCTAGCTGAACGCGTGGCACATCTCGCGCTATCTACCTTCAACTCCCTGCCTCAAAAATGCAAACCGCGCACTCTATCAGATGACAAGACCGAATGGACACCAATGTCGGCAGTGGTCCTGGAAGAGGAAGGGCGGCATCCGCGTCTGACTTGTGTCTCGTTAGCCACGGGAACCAAGTGCCTCTCAGCTACTGCCTTGCCCAGATGCCAGGGTCTTGTAGTCCACGACTCTCATGCCGAGATTCTGGCTTTGCGCGGATTCAACCACTGGATACTTTCAGAACTCGAAATAATCCTTCAAGACCCGGCTCATCAATCGCCCTACCTTGAATTCTCTCTACAAGACGATGCTGGGATGGTTCAAAATTGCCCATTCAGACTCAAAGACAATGTGATCATTCACTTCTTCACTACTGTGGCTCCGTGTGGTGATGCGTCGATGGAAATCTTGATGGACTCTTTTCCTTCTGGCGACGCAACGCCATGGCCGGTTGACAGCAATACTACCACTCTCCTGCAAGGCCGGGGCTACTTTTCCCAGTTGGGCCATGTCCGTCGAAAGCCCGCACGGGCAGATGCCGAACCAAGTGGTTCCAAATCCTGCTCAGACAAGCTCGCTGTCAAGCAGTTCACAAGTATCCTGTCTTTCCCGGCTGACCTGCTCATAGAGAGGACTCCGAATGCCTACATTAAAAGTATTGTGGTCTACGCTGATCAATATAATCCCACAGGTTACCAGCGTGCATTTGGGCCGGAAGGACGCTTATCGGCCCTCAAAGCCACTGGGTTCTTCTTCGCCATTGAGCCTTTACCTGTGGATTTTCCACGCTTTGCGTTCGAGAGACGACTGCAAACTTCCGTCGACTCGAAGCAATCAAAATCAAAAACGAGCAACGTTGCTGCCGTGTGGGTGCAAGGGGCAGGTACAAAAGGTCCAGACGTGGTTGAAGTTCTCATCAACGGGGTGAAGCAAGGCTACAAGCAATGGGATGAGAGGTCGGCCAAAGCGAGTGTTGTCTCCAGAAGGGAATTATGGGCCTTTGGCCTGAAGATCATCAATCTCCTTGAACGTCTTGACATCGCGAATAACCCCAGCAACATACCTGGTCGGGGTTACAGTAGCTGGCTCGGAATGTTGCAACGAGCACTTTCTGCGAGCACATACGAAGAGGCAGAATCATCAAATCTGAGAAAATCTTACAAAGAACGCAAAATGTGTGTTACCCGCGTCCTGGATAACTGGCCCAAAAACGCTGGCGACAGCGACTGGAGCTGTACCCAACCTACCCCTCAGATTCACACTCTGTCAGGTAGCGAACGTCTAGCAGAGAATACACGGTCTTTGTTTAACGGTGAAGGCAGCGGGCCGCTGCCTCAACAATCGTGACTTTTCCAAGGCGGTTGAGTGGATAACTGGCTCCGCACCCAACGAAAAAGAGCATTCACTGACTGCCTGCTTTCCGAAAAGACAATTCTATTCATAAGAATGCCTATACTATTTCTCTTTCGAGACTTGGATTTTCATTATCTGTCATCTCAGAGTACGCCGACTTCTTCGGCAACAAGCTTCAGCAACCGCCACTTATTTGAGAGCTGATTCAAGCATCCAACATAATGTTGCCGTTGAGGCGAGCTCCCACACATGGGAGGAAATGGCCGGATGGAGCTCTTCCGGGCAGGATCCTCCCAATAGTGGAAGAGTTCGACAAGTCGACGCAGAGCACAAGGCCAGCACAAGACCGAGTCCTGCACGGACGCATCACAAAGAACGAGGTGGTGAAGTCAGCCAATGTTGATGAAAGCCCAAAGGTCTCTGCAGGTACGAAAGAGAGTGGTTCACCGTGGCTTGACACACTTGAAACTAAAGATGAGTGCTTTCAAGAAGAGATCCAAAGATACGGTCGTGAAGTAAGAAAGCATCCACAGCGATCTTTGCGCTAATTACTTGGACCAGGGGGAAGGCCGCGATAGTGATGGGACTCCAGAGAAAGGCATGACGATGACGACTGCAGAGATCCCCATTCCTGTTCGCTTGCATGTCGCATTCAAATAGCTGAAGTCAAATGCCTCCGTGGCGCCCGCGGTCATCATAGCGCTGCAGGATCTGCCTGATATGGGCACACTCGGTGTAGGGCTGAGGGACAAACACTCAGAAGCCATTGGGAATCAGCTCTTCGAGACAAAGCATCCAAAGAAATGGATCTTCAAGATGCTGATGGCAACAATTTCTACGGCAGAGGCGGAAATTTTTCGGTATGCTCTCAAGTTAGGGCCAAGAGACAATGTCCCCGGTTTTTCCAATTCCTTAGGGAGGCGAGACATGTCAAGATCCCAAAACTGACACAGGAGGGAAAAGCGAGGCGAGAAATCGTGAATTGTGGTGACGAAGCTTGCAACGATGAACACGAGATCCCAAAACAGCCTTTGTCGGAGGAAGCTGCTATCGATGGATTCGTGGAAATTTACTTTTAGTAGTATAGAAGACGAAACTCAGGACTCGAAAGGGCTTGCAAGCACTGGGAAAGGCAGTGTAACGTGACAGGACATTACCATATCACATGAATGTTGGTAGCGTAAGTAGTACCTGGTTGCATTCTTGTACAACAACTCTGTCCGAATTCCAGTTACTATCTATTCTTCTTCTGGGTACCGTGGATCCCTCTTTCCGATCTTATTCATCCCTTGAATGTCGTGACTCGTCCAGTAGGCTTTCATTTCACATAGCCTTTAACCTCATCTGCCCTGGCCATACACTCTTCTAATGTCCGCCAAAACTTTGGTAAATCCAATGTCCTTGGAATCCTCACACCTTCTCCATTCGATGATTTTGTCACCACTGTCCTTCCAGTCTGTTCCCCTTCCAAGATGACATCGACGTCCCATCTCTCGCCATCATTATCGTTGAAGTCGATCCTAACCTGGGGATCTGGATGGTTCTCCAGCAACACAGCGACCGCAAGTGGATCATGCAGAGGCGGTCCGTCAGTGAGCCCAAACACTTCAGCATAGGTATGCGCAAAGAACATGAGCAGTTCATTAAACATCGTCCTCAGCCTCGTCGGTCCGTTTATCCCATTCAATAGCATGCGCTGGATTTCCGGGGTTGCGTACGCTTGGTGAGTCACATCTAGGGGAATCAGAGTCGTCTTCGACTTCAAGAGTGGGTTTTGAAGGACCGAACGTGCAGATTCCGGGTCTGCCCAAGTATTGAACTCTGCAAAGGGCGTGCGGTTCCCAGATCTGGCGTGGCTAGTGCCAGTGGTGTCGAGGTAGGGTTGGCCCATCTTCGCAGTAGTTCCTGATGTCAGCGGTGTTCCTGGAGAAGGGTCGGGGTCAAAGAGTCCCGGTTTGAGAGGTTTCAGGCGGTGCAAAATATATAGTAGCCTCAGTCGTTGACCACAGCGGCCAGAGCAAAGGGAAACGTACCGAGACGTGGGTGAAGTCTGACCCGATTGCACCTCCCATTATGGCGAGGCCGGCAATGTGTTCGGCGACGTTCGGGAAGAGGGTGAAGAGCAGAGCGATGTTCGTTAAGGGCCCGGTTGCAACGAGATATGGTGCGCCCTTAGGTTGACAGAGGAGCGCATTACGCATCTCGAGGACGGCACTGCAGTGCGTCAAGGCGGAACGGGATGGTGCAGGAAGAAGGTCTGTCCCGGCCAACCCGCTCGCACCATGAATATCAGGAGCGGTATGAACGGTACGACAGAATGGACGCGACAAGCCGGGGAAAACAGGGATGTCGGGTCTTCCGATCGCTTCCAAAACACTCAGAGCGTTGAATGTACATTTAGATAGGGGCGCATTGCCGTGCACCGTGCTGACCCCGATGAGATCGAGGGATTGGTGATAAGCCGCAAACAGGAGAGCACAGGCGTCCTGATGAAGTAGAAGGAGCTATGAGCATCTTTAGATTGAGAGGTATGAACCAACGCAACTCACGTCATGACCTGTTCGGGGGCAATGAGTAAGGGGGCCACGAGGCTTGGACGTTCACCTACCAGGATCGCAATCGAGCCATACGGGGAGCCTGGAAGAGGAAACCATATCCTCGCCCATGTTGAGATGCAAAGAAAGAGAGCACTTGTGCGAGGCGATTCATTACCTGGAGGGAGGACTCCATATATCAACATGGACGTCGCCGTCACCCTGGTTTGATATAGGGCCTATATAGGAAGGTGCGCCGAGCATTTCCCGCACCGCTCCCTCTCGCGGTGCCTCTAATTTGTCTTTTCCCGAGAACTCATCCACTCGTCCACCTCCTTCTCGTTCGCAGCCTTGACAATTCCCCATCCACCAATCATACGTTGACACATCCTCTTGACACCCCTTCAGTCATCTAAACCGGTGAGCGAACCTCTGCTTGCCCCTGCATTGCCAGCGTGGCCAGCGGGAACATCACACTACGCTCGAGGACCGAACTACAAAGACCTGCGCAATGCTCCTCCACGCCATGGTCCTGACATGACCACCTCAAGTTCTTCTCCTTCCATACCACCCTTCCCGACCATAGCAACAAAGGCCTCCTCCACCGCTCAGTCGTCTCAACTGACTGCTGTCGCTGACAGCAAGGCCATTTCAGGCCCTCGGTCCACCTCTCGAGCCCCCCCGACCACCAGCAGAGCCCGTCAAGATGCTGTGGCTCCAGACCCTACCTCGGAAAGAGCAACTTTGTCCTTGATCAGAAGGACTTTGGTGGCAGATGGAAGCCATGGATCGGATCGGAGAGTCTCACCGGCACCAATTGAGGGCGACCTTCCGCCACTTACCAGTTCCAATGAGGTAGATATCCAGCTTTATGCAGTCGTTGCCATAGTCATTAAGGACTTTGTCAACTCTTGGTACTCCAAGATCACGCCGGACAGAGCATTTGTGGATGAGGTCATTCAGATTATTGCTCATTGCAGTCGCGCGCTGGAACAGAGGATACGGCAGATTGACATCACGGAATTGATACTGGACGAGTTGCCTGTGTTGGTTGAGAGACATATTGCTGGTGAGCAGAAGAGCATGAAAAGCCAAGTTATGTCGTCCGGGTATTGACCATGTCTCTCTCTGGCAGCCTACAGGACGGCCACTACCGCTCAGGCTGCTCTGCAATACGGCGAAAATCCCCGACGAGTCTATCACGCCCTGAACCCACATCCAGCCCTCGACCCTTCCCTCCCGCAAGAGCAGCAACGAGCCCACGAGTCTGCCTACCAACAACTTCTTGTTCAGGGGGCATTGGCCGTCCTCCTACCAACCGAGGACCTAGCAAATGCATGTCTCAGAACATTGGTGAGCGATATCATCTCCGACCTCATCCTCGGACAGGCACTGGCGCAGAAAGTCTGTGAGCCGTGGTTCCTGCACGGGACTGTCTCGAGGGTTGTGGAGATAGTGACATCGCCTCCCACGCATACGTCTCCTGCCAATGCCGTCGATGACCAGAAAATCCTTCAGCCAGACGGCCGCCAAAGCCGTCTGGAGCAGTTTGGCCTATTAACTTCCAATACGGCCACTCCAGAGAGTTATTCGTCAGACCGGCACCAATCATCTCTTAGTGCGTGGTTCTGGAGACTGCTTCAGTACGCCTTCATCGCATACCAGTTGGCGCGGTTCATCCTCGTCGGCCTGGCTTACGCGCACCATCTACCCCGGAGAACCCGGCATCATCATCATCATCATGTCCTCGACAGCTCCACTTCATCGCCGTCCAAAGACAAGTCGCCCGTCTCATCGACACGGCAAATATCAGACCCCGATCATCGATCCCCGCGAGCAGTGATCCATTACAGGCTGTTCTCCTGCATGTCTAGCATGCTCGATTTGACCGTCCGCATGCCTTGGCTGGTAGGCTCGTTAGGGTTGTGGCAGCACATTCTGAGCGCGGGCCCGGGCAAGTACGGTGCTGCAAATTCCACGCTGGACAAGTAAGTGCCGTCGCTCTCCTTTTTCTCCCTTGACCCTCAGCCTCGCCTGTGTTTTCTTGATCGGTTTTCCCCATCCCATGCTCCCATCTGTCTCACTACGGGGGCTTCGGCAAAGTTAGGATCTTTTTTTTATCTTTGGATGATGCATGAATGTCTGGTCATCTGATGGATGAGAGTTGTTGCGAGCCAATGGTCCTTGATATCAGCATGTGCGGGCTACAATCCTCTTCCTCGCCATGCCCCTGTGTGAATCAGGAGGGTGTGGACCTCCAGACGATACCAATATTCAGCCAATCGCGACCGTTACGAGTAATGACCGTCACGCTTGTGTATCGTCACAAGGCTCGATACAGGCTCCCATTGGACAGACCTCGACCCTCACGCCTTGCCAGATTCAACTGGTTTGTTTCTCCCTGACTGCCCAGGTCAGTGGTGGTCATGCCCCCCTAACATCTTCCTCTCTGTTGCTGGTGGAGTTCGCCCGCACATGTTGTTCGGCCACTATACGCCAACGCCATGGCCACGTCGACAGACCCTACTTTGAGAAGATCGACCATCGTGACGATCCTCACGAAGCGACCACTTCGGGGCAGACGGCCGAAAAAGCAAAAAGATAAGTTGCTGCCGCCAATCGAATGCCCGAATTTACTGGGCTTTTTCTCGCTTCTCTGCAAAATGATGGTGCCAATTTTCGAACAAGGAGGGCGACATGGATCGGCCCCGCCCTCCTTCCCTTTGGCCTTGGTACGTCTCCGTCGACTTGCCCCCCCGATGCCCTCGCCCTGAGACAGCACCAATTGCTGTCACGCAACTTCCTCAGTCGCTAGTCTCGACTCTGAATCAGCAGATTGGCCCCGAGTCCAAGTCTCAACTTGACCAAGGCAGAAATCTCACCAGAAAGAGCCATTTTTGAGGTCGCTTACCAATGAAACACCTCACTCCTCTGGTATTTTCGAAAAGGTGCCAGCTTGCGCCCCCGATTGGCCTCCTCACGGCGCTTTTCCACAGCTAAATTCGAGTCTGATGAAATCCGGCCTCCCACTCTCCTCAGCGGTAGTCGTCGGCTTCCTTCGGCACGTGCCGAGGGACAGTCGAGTTCATCAGGAGTTGCGATAATGACCTTGCAGACAATATTCTTTTTACGTCACAACAGCCTTCCAACCCAACATGTTGGACGGCCAGCCCCTCCTCGCACGGCGACCTGTTATCTGTCAGTGTCAGTCTTGTCGGCCCTGCAATTGTCAACGGTTCGGATGGGTTCTTGTGTCACCCCGAGCGAACTTCGACGGGAAACTAGTCTGCGTCTCCAGTTCCAGAGACCCTTAGACTTACCGACTTCGGCTTGGGCATCCTTTTTGCAATATTCTGCACCCAGCAAACTCCACCCCAACCTAATTTTCTTTGCAAGTGGCGCTTCGAGACTCGAAATCAATGGCTGGTCAGCTTTCAACAGTGGGCACTTGTACCACACCCTGAGTCCTGCATCATTTGGACCAAAAGATTTGATGACCCTTGATCCTAGTTTCCTGGTCATTCGAAGCTGTTGCATCCTGCAGAAACACTAGTTTCTACTCGCAGTTTGCGCATCACTTCAAGCCGTACTTGCAACTTGCCGCGGGCTAGAACTGCGCCTGGATGCATTGGGCTCTTTTCCCAGACATTTTCCATGGTCCTGGCTGGCCTGGATCACCAGGAATTTGGGCACTTGATTTGCGCAAACAACCACGCCAGCGCCAGTCCTGTGAACACATGCTCGCGACAGTATCTGCACGGCCTCTATGGGCGGTTTTCGGCGCCGTCCGGTGCACCTCCTGAGGCCCAGCGCCTTGTCCCTCCTGCTTCAGCAAAACGACGTCAAGGTCAAGGTCACGTGGATCTCCTTGGATAGTTTTGGAAGTGTTTGGGTACCAAGTGATGGGGCGTTGATGGGCAGCGATGAGGCAAATCGGGCAGCATTGAAGTGATGGTGTTTGGGTGCTCGAGGTCTACCGGGTCGATCTCCCGAAACCTCGCCTCGGTGAAGCGCGAAGACAGGGCGATTCTGCGAACATCGAGCCACAAGGATCGACCGGCGACGAGAATGGCCCTCTGACAGAATTGATTAAACCGAGTGGACAACATCGCTGACTCCTTCACACTCGCAACGTTGCTCTGCCTCTTCTAAATGATAATGATGTCTTTTTTGTGGGCAGTCTTTGCTGACAAACTTGATCTTCCTTCTGCAGGTTCCTCTATCACACAATCTCGACCCGCCTCTTCTCACCGGCACTGATCCCACCTCTCCTACTGCAGATCCGCGTCCTCATCTTTCCCAACAACACTCTAGGCCCACCTCCACCGCCTCCTCCCTCTGTAGAAGAGGCACGCAAGATCCGCTCCAAGGCCGCCTCCGACATTCTCTCCTTGGTCCCTAGAACTGTGGGCAAGACGTTCTTCGCCGTCAGCAACGCCAAGAACGCGGAAGATGAGGAGATCAAAATGCGGATAGAGGTCGAGGAGAGGCTATTGGGGTGGACAGACGATGTTGAGATGAACAAGTACCTTGTCTATGCCATTTTGGAGCACGTTCTCCTGAAGCTTGTGCCAGAAATGAAAGATAAGACGCCCTCTGAGCTTTTGGCTGAAAGAGGCGTGGATCTAGTTGCATCCAAGGAGGCGGGAAAGGATGAGGAGTGGCCTAATGGTAATGGAGCTTGAAGTTGGGCGTAGGAAGGACAGAGGAGGACAAGTTCCCAGACGAGGGCCAATGTTCTAAATCTGGGCGATATGTACAGGTACGAGGAACCGAAAATCTTGCTGTTGTTTTTGCCGTTGGACTGAAGTCGCTTTCACTTTTCCCTGAGTTTGCTAAGCTGAGACTGTAGAAGTAACTGGTGGACCTTTTACGACACAGGGTCGCAGAGCTTGTCTAAGAACATTCTTCGTTCCGGCAGCCACCCTCTCTTCTCTTCTCTTTCGTTGTTTTTACTCTACTTTACTTTACTCCATCTCCATTTCCTCAGTGTGTGCAGACCCAAAAGCAGAAGAAAACGGCCCTTTTTCGCAGACAGACATATCCTGGTCCAAGCCTAGCCCAAAAAAAAAGGCCAACCATCCTCGAGACTCCTCCCCGTATTCACGAAGCGTCTATCCTCCCCGCCTTGCGCACAGTTCGGGATCGAGCAGGTCCAACATGAATATATAAGTACATTTATATGAGCGGTTCTTGGACTGTTCTGTACTGTACTGTACTGCCTATTCAGCCAACCACCCCCCACCCCCTTCCTCCAAGACAGCATGATCGATTTAGCGAGCGAGCAAGGACGACGACAGAACAAAAGAGACAAAGGAAAAGAAGCAGAAGAGCAGATATGCTCTATCTCCCTTTCTCTTGCCTCTTCTCCCCTCTCTATCTCTTTGGTCCCATATGTGAGTAAGAGAAAATATGAGAGGAAGAGAAAGAGAGAAAGAGAAAGAGAAGGGGGAGGGAGAAGAAGTTCGTCGGCGTCTCTACTTACACGTTTTCGAGCTATAGGGGCCTCGCTCTCTGTCGATGCCATCTCCTTCCTCTCCTATCCTTTTCTTTCTATCTTGTATGCGTCTCCGTCTCCCGTCTCCCATTTTATCCTCACCCCTTCCCACCTAGAGCGCAATACATATGTCATCACGATCAAAAAGAGTGGCTGGAAAGACACAGAGAAGAAGGCAAAGGCAAAGAATCAGGGAAAAGAGGGAGAAGAGAAGGTTCAGGATCCTCGACCCCCTTTTTTGCGGTAGAGAGGAACAGGCTACAAGTCTACAATTGGGAAACTTGAAAGAAAAAAGCAAAAGAGACGGGAAAAAAGATCGAGATTCTTATATTCCCTCCCCCATGTCCCCCGTGGATTGGACTACAGTGGTTGCCCGATGTCTTGTTTTCGTTGATTTATTCTCCTTTTGCTCATTTCCCGTCTTTTCCCTTTCTCTCCTTTCCCTGCCTGTCTGTGTGCCTTTTTGTTCGTGTGCCTTGTCCTCTGTAGGAGCTTGGAAGGTGATGATGGCATGAAACTGCAGTCTTTTTGGGTTGAGAGGATTAGATACTGAGGTATAGAAGACGAGCACAAAGGGGGGAGAGAGGGAGAGTCACGCGGAACTCGAGTATATACACAAAGCAAGCTGGGCTGTTTTCACCCCCCTAAGGGACAAACAACACTGCCGAACTATTTCCTGGCACGAAGTGAATGAGATTAGTTCTGCTAGGTCTTGAGGCTCAGGTACGCTGAGGGCAATACGCCAGACCCTACCGAGACCCCAGACCCAAGACCGGGCGCAGGTAGGTGAGTGAGATTCCCTCTCCCCTCCCCTCCCATGGGTCGTTCCCACTCCCACTCCCTCCACCAGGCACACCCTAGGGACTGGGAGGGGGTATCGTGCCCCCGAGCCAGTTGGTCACCTACGTGGCTGCTAACTGCGCCCTCTGCAGAGTGTGCGAGCTCGAGCCCGGGAGACAAGAACGCACCAACGGCGGTCTCTTCAAATTTACATCGTCTCTCGATGGCTATGCCCCTTTCTGAAGCTGAAAACACAGCTGCTTGGGAACAATCGGTTTTTCTTCTGCCTTGTTTTTCTCTCTCACTCTCTCCCCCAGTCTATCCTTCGGAAAACAGAGACTCCACACGGTTCCTCTGCGCTTTTCAGAGCTAGTAGTCTGTCATGTCAGTCTGGTTCGTTTTTCTTTTCAATCTTCGACTCTAGAGCAGGAGGGGACCGCAAGAAAGAAAAGTCATAACACTTTTGCCAAAGAGGGGAGGCAGGACCGGCGGAAAAGTGGAAAGAGACACAAAAGCATGCAAAGAGCAGGCAGGCCTTTGGTAAATCTCGTTGAGAGCGCTCAGTGGGAAGGGGGTTTCGCATCAACACCATCAAGACAATCACTTTGCTTCCATCCACCCCTTCAAATGAAGAGCTTGCTTGTCTGGGCTCTGAAACAATTGTCATTATTCTGGGATGCTTATCTTTCCTTCTCTTCTGATGTCCAGCTGAAGAAATCGTGTCCCCTTGAAAGACACGATTTCTTGCACACTTCGTCGAAACTGAGACGATATCAGGAGTCGGACGAAAAGGCGGTCCTATCAGGGGTTCCTCTTGGGGAATGGGGGTATTTAGAGGCCTGTCAAGGCAGGTTTGAGGCTTTGGACCTTGTGTAGCTTCTCGAGAAAAGCGAGAGACGGTCATCTCAGCTCTGTAAGCTTCAATCCAGACAGGACATCCTCTGAACGTTGTCTTTTTCTAGCGTAGCCGATAGAACGAAATGAATGCGGTCTCCAAATGGTACACGGTCTGTCGGCGACGTCCTGTCCGTGAGATGAGCCGTTTTCAGGAGAACGTCAGCTGTTTCTTGTGCCCGCGTTGAATGGAGTGACTCGTCACTTAGATTGTAGAGCTCAAGTAGGAACAGTGAGCATCACGTCGACAAGAAAGCCTCGATTGGCAGCAGTGTTCACCCAAGCGTCTGGATCGACTGTTATTCTTCGGGTCTGACCTTGTTTTGGCGTTGCGAGCAAGTATTGATCCCATTGGCAATGCCTCACAGCCAGAATTTGACTTTCCGGGCCATTTCGCCCCTCAGCTCTTCAATTGGGGAGGCTGATGTATAGCCCGCTCTCAGCTCTTCTGGGCCCCGGATCTCCACCTGGCGTGGTATGAGCATCGCTCGAGGTTCGTTTTGGGGAGCTTCATTCGTCATCCGGGGGCGTCGCCGTCTAGTAAGCGGGAACGAAGTCCCTCCAATGGAGGAATTGAAATGGAGAAACTTTCTTCTGACTAGACTGAGACCTTTCAGCAGTTCCCTTGTTGGAAATAATCTGAGCTCACCGTCTTCTGCAGCCTCATGAGTGGACAGAGATGGTCCAGTCATAGCGCAGATTCAGGAAGATGCTGTGATATTGGTACAAATATTGTGTTATCTTTTGGCATCGCCGTTACAGCCGGGCTTCTCCTCTGTCGGCGACCCACGGCTTGCCTCGATGCGACTGTCCTCCCGTCTATTCGGAGAGGTGTGTACGCCGCAGAAGCGAAGCTCTGAGGCGTGCGTGGGCTGTTCTCGCCTGCGGTAGTATCTGAACGTGGTGACGATATGAAAGATGATAGACGGAAGGCCCTAGGGCAGGAGACAAAGCGTGGGGGAGTGCTCAATAGAACCCGGACCCAAGGAGCAGGGATTGCAAGACAAGAATCTCAAGACGATGGAAGCAGAGATGTTGTCTCCTCTCGGCGAGGGAGAGGAGACAGATGCAGATGGGGACTTCGTACAGCCGGGGGATCTTGACTATAGTCAGCCAGCGCCATTGGCGTTGATAGTCCCGCGACCCAAGGCGCAATTCATTTCTGTCCTGTAATAGAAACTCGTCCTCGTTCACCAGAGAACTGTATATTTCGGATGGCTCACATTGCTTTAGCCTCCCCCGCCTCCCCTTTTCTCAATGCCAGGTCTCTCTCTCCTTGAGCATCCATGCCAGAAGTATTGGTTCGTCGCCGTACGATTGGCCATGGAGCAACGCGTCACGGAGGAGCAGCAGAAAGTACCCCAAATGGCTTCGTCGGTTCTTGAAACCAGCCGGGGAAGCCGCTGTCAGTAACTGGAACAGGAGTTGCGAAGGAAAGGCAACAGAGCTTGTTGCCACGAGACACTCTTAATGCTCAATGCTCAATGCTCATGCCTGAAGCGACTTGAGGTCGTCGACTTGCAGAGTGCGGTCGGCAGGCACTTAGGCCGAAGAGTCGAGACTCGAGACGGACCCCTGCAACGGATCTCCCAACACAGCCTTGCTAGCCTCACTTCCATCCGAAGTTTTCGGACGCGTTTTAGGTCATTGACAGCATCTCCCGTGATCGACAGGATCTGCGCATGTCTCGCCTTGACATGGACGTGGCGGACAAGGGCTTCTGCAATGTTCTTTTGGACGTTTCGTGGGTTGTGGTTGAGGTTTGAGGTTGTCATTGCTAGCAGTATGTATCTCAAAAATGCCTCCCAAAGCTTGCGCTGCCACTGTATATGCCCCTAGCCCGACATTGGACATTTTTGCTGCACTGTCGCTGATGCTGACGCTGCTCCCCTTCGGACATATAGCGCTGGTAAAATGCCGCAGCATGCGACCGGACACCGTACACCACAGGACCCCTTCATGTGCACCTCTGTCATGCATGTCTGCTTTTACACGTTGCCGCGTTCACAGGAAAACGTAGTTACTGGTTCAAGGAGTCCTCCAGCGAGGGCTGGAAGAAGAGAAAGTTACACACTCATGGTCCAATACCCCCCGTATTGACCCTCCCTCATGTCCTTCCCCCGAATCCACCCCCATTTGTGCACCCACGGCCTAGTTCCCAATTTCAATACAAGCAGAGAGAAATGGAAAACATACAAAACTCTGACATGTACTGGTGGCGTACATGATCCATGATCGGATAACCCCATCGAAATGGATGAGAGACAGATAGAAGGGAAGCAAGAAAATTAGAAAAAAGAACCCAATTTCCTCCATGAATTTCATCCAGTGGCTCGATCGCTCGCCTGCACGCTCCTCTTTCTTCCCACATATACATGGCTTCATACAATGAATAAGGAGATTTCGCCTCGGGGCTGGGTAGTCTCTATGTGAGTGGTCGTCTGCGATCGTAGGCGGATGCCGCGTCCCGAACCGAGAGAGAAAATCGTAGAGGCATCTTGCTCTCTGGAAGTCCGATGCTGTTTCTCGTGACCAAGGATGTGAAAACAAATGCGACTTCTGGATCGACGCTCTGTCCCTGGGCGTCTGCTGGTGATAGACCTTTGTGCTGATGTTTCGTCATTCTCTTGCGTGTCTGTATTTTCCCACCCTCCAATGCTCGACGCTCTTCGTAAATAAATGATTGTGGGCCTTTGCATGCTAATTGCAACCGTAGCTGCAGCAGATACCTCAAAAGGGATGGTATCAATGAAAAATGAAATTCTCTCAACGACTGTCACTCACGCCGGCGGCGCTGCACCTAGGTCGAGATGCCCAGAATGGTCCTCTTTTTGGAAATGCGAGGACTATCCATGATATCGATTGGGTGCATGCCTCCAGGCAGTACTGGTGCAGTTGGTCGAAGAGCTTTGATCTTTTGTATCAATTTCCCAATCGCCAAGTAATCGTCCGGTTCTGCTACCGTCGGGTTCTGTTCCAGCAACGCTTTGGTGGCATGCAAAGCTCGAATGATATCGTCCTCGGCAGGTGAGGCTGGATTGCTAATTGGTGAAGTGTCTGCAGACCGTGGCAATGGCGGAGGCTGCATGGATGAGAAACGCACCTGTTCAGGGTAATGGATGTCTGGAACGCTCTTGTGCCGTTTCATCATCTGCCGGGGGTCGATAGCGGTAGGTCGAGGCTCTCCTGTTGCTGCCGCCGCTACAGTTGTCGTCGTCAGTGAGCGCACAGGAAGTGCAGGTCGGTTCTGCCCAGATGAAGAGGGGCGTGAGGCATTGCCAAGATTCGGGGCGTGAGGATAAGTCTGGCTTCTTTGACGATTAGATCCCCCCAATGCATCATCCGCGCTTTCCAGCATGGCCATGCCATCCTGGTCATTCCGCACCATTTCTACCGACATAGGTGACATGATAGATTCTGATGTCAGCTCACGATCAAGTTCCGTTTGAGTTTCGAACGTCGGTTTCCCATCTCCAAAGTCGAAAAATTCCGTGTGGCTCTCCATCTTAATCATGGGCTCTTCGGCATGCTCCTCAATCGCTGACATTGGAGGAGATACAAGACCGTTGGACGACGCGGGTGAACCGTCAAGAGGCGTTTGCGACAGTGAAGTTGAGCTGGAATCCACCAAGGTCGAATCTGCATCACCCTTGTGTGCAATGAGATGATTTTTACGTTTGAACTTCTCAAGCCAGTCCGCGCTTGAGACTACTGCTTGGTCGCTCCTGCTGAATGAGAAGACCTGAGCTTGCTTCCGAAGATCTTCATCCGAGATGGGCAGCCCTTTCTTTTGTTGATTCCGGACCCAGTTGGTGAGGGTCTTCTCAAAGTCCGGTAGTTTGGCCTTGGACTTCTTGCTCGGGCTGACACTCTCCTCTTTCGGCTGCGGATTCATGTATTTGTCGCGCTGCCGCAGAATCTTCGATACCGTGCTAGACAAAATTAGCCCGCGGATTGCAATCCAGCAGTGCGGTGTGGCGAGCATACCTCCTCTCCACGTTGAATTTCGCTGGACAGGGTCAGAGCGAACGGCAAAAGTGAGTATGGGCACATACCTCCTATCTGAGTCTGCTTCATGCTCGGATTCTGCTCGGCCTCAATGCACATTTGGCGACGTTCCTCGTCAGTCAACTTGCGACGCGAGGAATTCGTTTTGGCACTGGTTGGTGTTGCATCAGAACCTGTGCCTGCCGACAAAGGAGTCTGGAGTGGCCCAGCAGGCAAGATTGGCGGCGGGTAAGATGCCTGAGGTTGACTAGCCAACATACTTGGCCACAAAATGTTGTTAGGCACCACCAATGGCGGTGGCATCGGTGCGTGCGAAGATGCAAATGGCGACGGTCGTTGTATGGGATAAGCCGGTTCCAATGGTATCGGCGTGGTGTGGTGGTGGTGGTAGTCGAATTGCGGAAACTCCTGCATTGGTGAGATGGTCGTTTGAGGGCTGGAGTAGCCGTTCGGGATGCCGTTCGGGACGCCCATCCAGGCATTCTGGCTGTAGCCCGAGTGTTGCGAGTCCTGGTTCTCCGGTGGCATGTTCAACAAGACCTGCATCGATATTCGAATCTTCGGGTGTTACTATGCTGAACTAGGCGCTGATATGTTTTGGCGATGCATGCCACTGATCCCGGGTGAGGTTCTCACACAATGCAAGTGACCCGCGATCCCAGAAACCTAGCTTGCACGACCCTAAAGCCTTGAGACCTTCAAAATAGAAAGGACCAAGATGCAGAGAGTGTGCAGAGACCGACGGATGTGAGCTGTGCAGACCTGAGGTCAAGCTTGAGGGGGAAGAACGAGCATATGAAAAGAGGGAACGTCGGAAAGTGGGTGTGTGTGGGGAGCAGACCTGATAGTGAAGGCACAAGCCCAGACAGTCTGCAGGCGAGCTCAAGCTGGACGAATTGAGGAGTTAATATCGGACTGGTGTTGAATTTTGACCGGGGCCCGGACAGGCCTCGAGAACAAAGTCGACCAGGGCTTGCTTGAAGGCGCGAGGGGGCGTTGTTTGGTGAGCTTGGGCCGCAGGTGTGGTCAAAGCAGGGTTGTTGTGTGGGCTATCTTCCGATTACTTAGTCCTCGTTTGGGTCAAGATGCTGCACAAGGCGTGGTGGCTCTGTATCTGCCCACGCAACTCGAGACGTCTATGCTTTGGATAGCCACTGAGAAGAAAGTATAGATATGCTTTGGAAGGGGTCGTTCCGTTGGGAGGGCTTCCGAGTGCAATCCGCAGTCTGCAGGTGGGAGGCTAAAAGCCTCGGGGCGGTACTCGAGCCTATAAAGCAAAGGCTTAGGGAAGGTTAGCGGCAGCCCGGTAAAGGAACGGCCCTCACAAACTCTGCCCGCTAGCACTGGGTTAGCATTGAGGAGGAGGGGGAAGACTCGCGGGCAGGCTTAAGGACGAACATGGGCATGCGTCGGGGCTTGCCCAGGGTGAAGCGCACCGTCTTGCCAATCCTTCTTTCTCACCCGGACCCGCCCTTCTGCTCTTTCAATCCTTGACACGCCACTGTGAGGTGCCCCGTAGCGTCAACGCCGGTGGGTAGAAATTGGTGGTTTATTAGTGAGTCGAGATCGTCACCCGAAGAAGGACAGGGCCCTTTATGCGTCGCAGTTCCCCCAGGTAGAGATTTGCGACGAGGGGCGAGGGGCAAGCCGAGAATTTAGTCACTCAGAGAGATGGGTCGTTCTTTTTCAGTGATGTCGGGGGACGGGTACCGAGTGGAAATGAGAAAGACAAAGCAGGAAAGCACGGGCAACCATTTGTACAAATGCAGACTCGTTCGACGACGACCCAAGGAAACCCAAATCCTGGTAGGCTTGTCGTGCTTCTGTATCCCTCTCGTGCATCTCTCCATTCAAGGACGACTCGAGATTCATAAGCCCCACGCTGTTCGCAAAAAAAAACCGAGCGGCGTCGAATTATAGCGGAGCCAAATGGACGAGTCGAGGATAAGCTGCTCGAATGAGTGCGTGCAGGTGCTGCAACGAAGGCTACGGCGCTCCGGCTAGCCTCGTCCCTTCCTGGACGGTCCGCTAGCTACCGAGCATGACGCGGGTGATCTCAGGGCCGCAAGTGATTCCCTGCGGTCCATAGGATCTCCCATCTGTACAATCGCATGGCTCGACCCTCTTGCTGAGGGCAAGTCGTTAAGGGACTGGCCGTCACTATTGTCGTGGCGTAAAGTGTAGAATAGCCTGTGGCCCCAAAGCCCTCTCCCTGGGCAACCCCTGTCGTTTTTGGTATTGTACAGTAAAGCCTGACAATCTGACGGTACGGGTCAGCGGGCGAGTGTATTATTGAATCTGGTTTACCCGTGGGGGGGGGACTGAGGACATAGGCGAATCCAAATGTCCCTTGTGCGACCGAGCGTGGGTCCGTGGAGAGAAGCATGCCTAGACCGGCTGGGTGAGTTTGGCGAGTGAGAAGAGACAGCAAGCACTCCAGGTAACTCGCCAATCCTCATATTGGACTGGATCAAGGAAAGGTTGTAGCCACCCAGTGGTGCTTTGTGCCTCTTCACTCGCCGTTGGCTCCACGATGACAACTGCGCCAGCCCTCGTTTGGGCGACCTTGGGCGACCTTGGTCAACCTCCCTGGCCGAATATGGGCGGCGCCAGAGACACTGGGGAGAAATGACGAGGAGCCAACAGGCACAAGAAACGAGGGCCAGGCGTCATGGTTGGCAGGAAGGGAAGGACTCGGCGGCAAGATAATGCCCAAAAGGACAAATAGGACGGAGGAGCCAGTGGGTATGGGGAAGCGTGTTTCTGAGACTCCCAGCCCTGATCGTGACGCCCAATTGGGCAGGCGAGTGTAGATCCCGAGCACCAGTGGAAGGAGAATGATCATGTAGTGGACTTTGTATCATCCTGATCATTCCCTGCTGTTGAGAGCAGAGCTGCAAACCCTGGAGAGAAGAGAATGAATGACGTTTGGCAGGCTCGGGTGGTCAAGATGGTAAAAGGCGCAGTCAGTCCTTGTCACTCAATTGCCCAGAGCTGGCTGCTACGGCTGCTATGTCCCAAGTACTGCGTCCTGCGTACTCTGCACTCCTCGACAATGGACACAGTCTGTACCAAGTATAAGTTTATAATCCGTACTACATCCTTCTGGCAGTCTTCCCTAAAATCCTATCTTCATTCTTTCCTATCTCTACAACTCTCAATCATCTACGAGAAACAACCCTCCCCACCCTCGTAACCCTTCCACCCCCGTGCTCCTACGACGTCATTGGCGCCTGCATTGTCCAGGGCTTCCTTACCCTGCCCTGCAGTACTTGGTCTAGGTCCACGGTTGAGGAGGGTTCCACGCTTAGCATGAGAACAAGGTTGCATGGGAGAAGCGGCTGTGTGAGGCACCCCTCCAGCCTCTGATGGCCTCAAGCAGAAGGTCGGTACGCGCACGAGCTTATGTCCTTACTCGAACCCTAGGTAGAGGTACGGCGGACTCGGAAAGCCTCCGAGCGTGGTCGTGGCGCTTTTAGGAGAGGGCCAAATCGCAACAAGAGCTCAGGAGAGTCAAGTGAAGCAAACACGACCGGGGTTGCCATTGGGACTTTACCTCTTACACCCCGCAAGAATCTCGGACAATGGACTAAGTAAACAGGGGCACTTAGGGCACTCAGGGCAGTTGAGCTCTGCTCTCACTCGGAGGGCTTCAAAATGGGTCATCGAAACCCTCTGTCGGCTCAGCCAAAGTATTTCCCTCCCAAGCAGACGAAGTTGAATGCGCTTCCGCAAGAGAAGAGCGAACACTTCGACTGTTACATCGATGGGGCATGCTTCCAGGACAATCAACGTAACCCGTCGACACATGATGTGGAAGCTCCTCCCTCCTGCAGTCGACTCCTCTACTGTACTTGGTATAGGTACGTTGATGGTTGCCGGAAATGTGGTGCCGGGTCACCGACAGACTCTGTTCCGCATATCAGAAGCCGCCCTCACCCTCCATAACCAACGTCGTTTCCATGCGCCTTGACCCCCTCAGCGGCCTCCCAAATAACCCCATGGAGCGGTCGTATTTGCAGCCTGACCCTGCAGCTCGTGCGTGCGGGCGGAGAATTGGCCGTTGGGCTCATGCCAGGGCAGGGCAGGGCAGAGAAACAATCCCAAGGCCCCCCAAAAGCACGGATCCTGGTCGTCTCTCCAGTCCACACCACCACCTTCGTGCAATTTCTCCGCACTGTCAGATCCCCTATTAGGACATCCAACCGCGCATTAATCAATAAATTGTTTCATGCGGAAGTGAAAAGGCGCTCTTTCTCGACATCTCTTTTCTCTGCATTGTTGTTATTGGTTGGCGACGAGGCGGGATACATTTTCCACCCCGCCGCCCTTTACGTGCGCATAATATTCAGCCATGACGTCGGTCGCCCGATGGAGTGTATGTACTACACATTCTTTCGCTGCTCATGGATTGACTTTTTCAACAAATCTGGCACTGGTTCGAAGCGGGCACGTCAAAGTGCCTCACTGATTTCTTGTACATTGAGACGGACTTTCGGGTTAGACGGGAGCCCCGTTAGTCGAGGCCCGTCCATTGTAAGAGGTTTCGACGTGGAATCCTCCCAGCCGTTCTCGCCGTTGCGTTCGAGGTAGGGCTTAAGCGAGGTTGTCAACACTCATCGCCGCAGCATGGTTCTTTCTTCCGCCCATTTTGGCAGTGTACTCCTAGCCCCTAATGCTGATCAGTGATCGAAGGCTAAGGAATAGGTTGTTCTCGATCCGAAGACGCGGGGATGGCGGAATGGTGAAGTATCTAGCCTGATTGAGCGGAAAAACGGTCCGTGGCCAACGGTCTCAAACCTTGAGGCGGCTTCAATCCCAATGCTTTCTCGTGGGTTGATAGGCGTTCAAGGCTATTAGGGTGAAACAAATCCGGGATTGACTGTGTCACTTTTTGATGATGGTGACTGGGTGGGTGAACAGCGTCAGCATCATGCGGATAAGGATTATGGCAGGGATCTTGTTGGACTCACTGATATCTTCGTCGGCTAACTCATGTGCAAGACCAACCCGTTGGGGCTGATGCTTGACCGACCTCCCGTAGACAATCGCATGCTTGAACTGCTCAACGATTGTCTTGTGAATTGCATTGCACTAAGTGAAAGATCAGCAACCGAAATTTCCAAGGACGGTTGTCTCGGCCTACAAAGTCTTCGACGGTTGACGCATTTTTTCTCAACACGACGGGGGCAGTATAGTCGGGCTGCTTTCCCTTTGGTTTGGTGTAGATACGTTTCAGTTGCAACTTTTCCCACATCTGTTCCAAAAGCTCATCAACGTTCCATCCGTGCTCGGAGCTGATAGGCACGGCGTTCGGAATGCGATAGAGTAAGTCCAGTTCCTCGATAGTTATCGAATCAATTTTGTTGAGCGCATATATGACCGGGATGTAGCTCCTGCTCTTGGCTTCCAGGACGTCAATCAAATCGTCAATGGTGGCGTCGCACCGGATGGCAATGTCAGCCGAGGAAATACGATACTCGTTCATGACCGCTTTGATTTCGTCATGGTCAATATGCGTCAGAGGG